TGAACTAGAACTAAATTAGAACAGAATTAAAACTTTACTAGAACTTAACTAGAACTGAACTAGAACTAAACTGGAACTGGATTTAATTCGGTTTAATACTTAACCTAAATTCCAAAGAACGCAAATATCTTCCATAAGTACAGAAAACAAAAAGTAATTATTTTTTTATTATTATTGCAAAAAATAGTAATTCATAACAAATAGGACAATTTAAAAATATGTATGTACCGGTGTTTATGATCTAATTGTTTTGGGCGTAACTGAAAAAATCAATTTCAAAGAAAAGTTCTATAAAACCAAAACAAGTTTTACAACAGGTAAACAATTCATTTAATAAAAATACGTTAAATTCAAACTAAAACCTATCAAATAAAAACGTTGCCATTTATACACAACATAATAACATCTTTTGAAAACCCCCCAGGCATTGCTTTACCCTTTCATCTAACAAAAAAAAAACAGCTAAAACCATACAAATTGTACACAATCTTTTTGTTGTTTCTAGCATACAAAGGTGTATAATAAATAAATAATAAACACACACACTTAACTAAACATAAACAAAAGACCTAAGTGATGATGTTGATATGGTGATGATGATAATAATGACAATATTTTTTTTTTTTGTTTTTGCTTTTTTTACCTTCTTGTGCATTTTTGCTTGTTGCCTTTTCCTTTGTTGACGCTGATGTTGACTCATCATCATTCAATAACATCTCCTGTTTTGTACATGTACGTATACGTAATTGAAATTCATCTTTATGCCAGATATATTGACGTTCCTTAATAAGTTTTTCCACAAATTTCATACAACGGCCACGCATCTCTTCCAGTTCTTGATGTACCAGTTGTTCATGTTCATTTTCATCATTGCTCGAGGTGTTATTAAGTTTGGGAAATATGAAATATTCTACATAATCATCTTCTCGTACGAATTCCAAATTGGCACGAAATATTTTATCCATTTTAATTGATAAGTACTAGAAAATCTTCTGGGCTGGGTGATGTTGAGAGCTCACAAACACGTTTCTTTTGTTTTTTTTTTTTTTCACACTAAACAATAGTTATTTTCTAAAGTTTTTTAATATGTGATTTTATCTAATGTTTTCTTTGTAGTAATTTTCAATTATTATAGTATTTTTGTTTTTATATAATTAATTTTTGTCTTTTTAGTTAATTGGCCAAAACAAAAATAAATCACTCTTCTTTTTTGTATCCCTAAATAATTAGAGATGTTAGTTTTATACGTATTAGTGACAACATTTATATATGGGTGTTATCGATAGTGTAAGAGTCGCAGAGTTGTATAAACAGTAGTATAGGTTGTAGTATTTGTTTAAATTTAACGGATTTTTTTGTAGAGGGTTGCTAGAAATTCACAGGAAATTTAACTTTTAATTTATTAAAGATTTAAATTACTTAATTTTTATTTTTGAAAAATTATCAAAATATTAAAATTAATGTACAAGGGGAAGATTAAAATTAGTTATAGTATAGACAAATTCCAAAAAAAAAAAAAAACAGAATTATTTTCAAAATTTTGAATATATTTCGTATGATTTGTTCGATATACATATACATAGGTATTTTTTTAAATTAAAAAAAAATTAAAACATTAAAAAATAATTAAATATATTATAGAAGGCAAAACGGTTGGACCGACTTTCTTGAAATTTTTACAATGCCTCCCGCGAAAAAAATGTACAAAACTTACAAAATAAACATTAAAAGTCGTATATCTCTGAAAATGCAACACCTTGTATATCCATAAACAACTTTGACATCCATATAAACGTTTATGGTCAAAATGGTGGGACTTTCTGCCGTGGGCATTGTACCTTCCTTACAAGGGAAATATTAAATTAGTATATCTAAGGTAATATAACAACTTGAAACCTTAAATTTTGTCGGTGTTACTTTAGTATCGACATGAACATTTAAAACAAACATTGCAATAGTGGGTGTGACACCTCCAATATGAGTTAAATAAGCAGATCTTATACCTTGGATTTTATTAGAACAACAATCTTTAATTTTAGCAAGAACTACTTTGACATTCACGAGATCATTCGGTGAAGTCGTAGATATATATATGTATATATATATATATATCTACGACTTCACCGAATGATCTCGTGAATATACATATACATATATATATATATATATATATATATATATATATATATATATATATAGATACATAGATAGATAGATAGATAGATAGATAATATAGATAGATAGATAGATAGATAGATAGATGATAGATAGGCAGATATATAGATAGATAGATAGATAGATAGATAGATAGATAGATAGATAGATAGATAGATAGGTAGATAGATAGATAGATAGATAGAAGATAGATAGAGATAAGATAGATATAGATAGATAGATAGATAGATAGATAGATAGATAGATAGATAGATAGATAGATAGAGATAGATAGATAGATAGATAGGTAGATAGATAGATAGATATGATAGATAGATAGATAGATAGATGATTAGATAGATAAGATAGATAGATAGATAGATAGATAGATAGATAGATATTAGATAGATATAGATAGATAGATAGATGTAGAGATATTAGATAGATAGATAGATAGATAGATAGATAGATAGATAGATAGATAGATAGATAGATAGATGATAGATAGATAGATAGATAGATAGATAGATAGATAGATAGTAGATAGATACATACATACATACTTACGTACTTACTTACTTACTTACTTACTACTTACTTACTTACTTCTTACTTATTTACTTACTTACTTACTTACTTACTTACTTACTTACTTACTCTTACTTACTTACGTACTTACTTACTTACACTTACTTACTTCCTTACTTACTTACTTACTACTTACTTACTTACTTACTTACTTACTTACTCTTACTTACTTACTTACTTACTTACTTACTTACTTACTTACTTACTTACTTACTTACTTACTTCTTACTTACTTACTTACTTACTTACTTACTTACTTACCTACTTACTTACTTACTTACTTACTTACTTACTTACTTACTTACTTACTTACTTACTTACTTACTTACTTACTTACTTACTTACTTACTTACTTACTTACTTACTTACTTACTTACTTACTTACTTACTTACTTACTTACTTACTATTACTACTTACTTACTTACTTACTTACTTACTTACTTACTTACTTACTTACTACTTACTTACTTACTTACTTACTTACTTACTTACTTACTTACTTACTTACTTACTTACTTACTTACTTACTTACTTACTTACTTACTTACTTACTTACTTACTTACTTACTTACTTACTTACTTACTTACTTACTTACTTACTTACTTACTTACTTACTTACTTACTTACTTACTTACTTACTTACTTACTTACGTACTTACTTACTTACTTACTTACTTACTTACTTACTTACTTACTTACTTACTTACTTACTTACTTACTTACTTACTTACTTACTTACTTACTTACTTACTTACTTACTTACTTACTTACTTACTTACTTACTACTTACTTACTTACTTACTTACTTACTTACTTACTTACTTACTTACTTACTTACTTACTTACTTACTTACTTACTTACTTACTTACTTACTTACTTACTTACTTACTTACTTACTTACTTACTTACTTACTTACTTACTTACTTACTTACTTACTTACTTACTTACTTACTTACTACTTACTTACTTACTTACTTACTTACTTACTTACTTACTTACTTACTTACTTACTTACTTACTTACTTACTTACTTATTACTTACTTACTTACTTACTTACTTACTTACTTACTTACTTACTTACTTACTTACTTACTTACTTACTTCTTACTTACTTACTTACTTCTTACTTACTTACCTTACTTACTTACTTACTTACTTACTTACTTACTTACTTACTTACTTACTTACTTACTTACTTACTACTTACTTACTTACTTACTTACTTCTTACTTACTTACTTACTTACTTACTTACTTACTTACTTACTTACTTACTTACTTACTTACTTACTTACTTACTTAATTACTTACTTAATTTCTTACCTTTTTACTCAACCTCCCAGAAATAAATCAAATTTAATTTAATTTTTATTAATTTATGTTTTGAAATTTCTTTAATTTTTTATTTTAATAGTTGTTATTTAATGAAAATGCATTATTATCCAAAATAATACATATACATAATTGTATACATTTGTTTTTTAAATTTCATATAATTTAGAATAAAATTTTGAAGAAACAATTATTGAATGAATGATTTGAACTAATTATGTTTTATATACAGAGATTAGAGTGTGTTTTCTTTTCTTATAATTTTAGTTAAAAAAACTAAAAATATTATAAAAAATATAATTTTCCAAAACAAATAAAAAATGCTTTCTTTGAATATTTTATGAGATTTATATAATATTTACAAAATTACAACATACATTACACGGGACAATATGATATTTTATAATTAATTAAAAAAACTGAATGGTTATATCACAAATTCAAGTTAGAAAACATTTAAAAAATATATGTATTAGATATATATTTAAATAAAAATTATGACACGCAAGAGTTGAAAACATAAAATACAAAAACAAATACAAAGTTTAAACAATACAAAGTTGATTTATGCCAAAATTCTTTTTGAATCGTGCACTTTAGTAGTGTTTTATTAAAATGTAAATTTTAAGTAAAATTCTTTTAAGAGTTTTAGCGATAATTATTATAATAATTTAATTTACTTAAAACTAACAGTGAGTGTGTTGTGTGCTTTACAAATAGATTTAGTAGTTTAGACAAATATTAAAAAAAAAAGAGTTGTGCTTTTAAAATTGCTTAAATTACGATATTACATCGTATATAACAACAAAAATCTTAACAAAAATGGTTTATAATAGTAGTTTAATTAATTTTAGTAAATGTTCTAATAAATTGTAAATAATGGCATATAATTTTTAGTTACTTGAGTTTGTTTTTTTTCTGTTTTTTTTTTTTTCTTTTAAGAAAATTAATAAAAAATATTGCCTATTTTTCAGATTTTTGGCTGCTGATTAAGTTTAGTTAATGGAAAAATATTGCATTTTAAAAAAATTTTTGGTTTCAATTAGTTTAGTTGTTTGTTTCATTTTGCTTTTTCCTTTTTTGCTATAGTTTTCTAAATGTAAAGAGTTTTTTTTTAGCTGCTGGCGTGTGAAACTAGAGCATAAACATTACTTTTAGGATCTGGAGCCAAAGAACTCCAAGTGGTTTCTTGGCACAAGGGCAATTTTTCTAAAGCTGCTGTATTAAGATTTCGGGCATTATCATTTACTGCACAAGTTTCTCGTGTATGAAAGAATTTCCCCGTTAAATCATCTATCCATTCATAGAGTTTTTCTCCTGTTCTCAAAGCATTACGTGCTGACAATTTTTTCAATTGAGCTGATTCTTCAAAGGTGGGTATGTATTGCAACCATTCTTGTGGTAAAGCAAAATCTTCGGCCAATGTTAGGCCATCACCAGCATTAATTAGACGTGCTCTATCCGCTGCTATCTGCTCACCATTATACAAAGCTAGAGGCGTAATAAGAAATTTAGTTTGAGCATAAATGGCATTACGTCCTATAAGTTTAGCTGTCCATATGCCAGGGGTTAAGGGTTGTTTTAGCAAAGCTTTGGAATAATTAATATTATCCGTTTGGCTGTCTTCTATGTGCAGTTCATTAAAATCTTGCAAACGTCCCATGGGATCTATCCACAATAAGGTGAGATTATAGGAATGAGAAGTATCTTTGGGTGAAGCTGAACCAGAACCCATAAATGTAAATGTTAATACCAAATCGGTATAGGGTCCTAGGAATTTTTGTAAATTTCTACAAATTTGCTCTTTTTGATCATATTCCGAGGATATTTCAAAGTTTCTTAAACGTTTTGCAAATTTGGAATTTTTAGCAAATTTAGCATATTGCACCGGTCTTATGCGGCTCTCCAGTTCATAAACAGTTCGATTAATTCGGTCCAAAGTTTGATATCTAATTAAGAAACCCTTATACTGATCATTGTGTAAATACTGTGTCAACTCCAACACCTTATGACTTTTGGTAGACCACTGTTTGCACAATCTTCTTACCAGACTTTCGGCCACTGTTAAAGTTAGATCATCTTGTTTAGTGCGTTTATCTTCATAATGATAAAAACTTTGCCAATAGGCGGGCAAGTTTATGTAGTCTTCAGCATATGCTCCATATAACCATTCCTCCAATTTTAATAAAATAGCTTGATTAATAATGGGCTCAAATTTGCGTGCAAAATAAAGCATTTTGTTTTCAGTATTTTGCAAACGAGACCAGTCTTCTGGTTTAAAATCATTGGGACTACAGCCACACCAATCCACCACATGTTTGTACTGACATTTACAACCCAATTTACGCTTCCAGTTCGTCACATGTAAATTGTTATCCACATAAGTGCCACAAAATTTGGAATTTCTTAAAACTGTATGGAAAAATGATTCAGCTGGCAAAAGGGTGTGTCTAAATATGACCAAGAGTCCCTTAAGTAATTCATCAGTTTCTTTATTCTCTAAAACATATTTCACAAAAGGCCGCGACAGTGCTATCCAATCTGAACCACCATCTATTTGTATGCCAGTAGGTAGTTTACGGTCTCCTATACGCCACATATGAGTATCACATTCTACAAAGGTTTTGTCCAGTCCCTGTTTTTGTATAAAGCGTTGTGTCTCTCGCCCATGACTCTTGACAAAATTACGATTACGATTGGCCGTTAAGAATTCCTCAAGTTTGTCTAGCTTTTTAACGGGAAAATCACTTTCACTTAGATTGATAACAAAGTCCCAGTGAAAAGAGGATTTCAAAAGATCATCCATACTTTGCATTAACATAGTGAGCAAAGAAGCACCACCCCAAATGGTAGAGAAACGTGTGCGGGCTAAACGTATGTTGGGGAATTTAGGTTCCAGTTCTAAGAGTTTACGATATAAATAGTCTTGACGCTGAAATTAATAAAAAAAAATCCATATTATATTCCTTTCATATTTTGCAACTTTTCTTTGTTTAATTTCAAACTTATTCTACTCAGTTTTAATTACAGTAAATTTCTGTATTTTATAGCCTTATTTAATTTTAAAACCCCTAACATGTATTTAAAACTAGTTTAAATAATAATTTAAATGACATGCAATCTACATCTGTTCATTAAACTAGGAACTTACCTTGTCCACATGTATATAGTAGACATGTTGTGGTGCATATAAAGCTTTTAATAAACGATGGACTTGTCGTAGAGCACGACCATTTAATGTTAATAAAAATGCCACTTTTATACGTTCCGTAGTGTCGGGTTTAACACTAGTCTCAGCAATTTGTGCTGAAAATTCTGTAAAACGAAAAGTAAAAGCAAACAAAGTTTTAGTAAATATTTATGTATGTACAATGTACAATAAAATTACAAAAAACTTAAACATTTGATTAATTGCATGTTTCAAGAGTATGTACTTTTATTTATTCTTGTTGTTGCTTTGTATTTGTTGTAGTGTATGAAGAAATAATGCAAATTTTCCGTTGTAAGTAAATCAAATTGGGTCTATGAATTGTGTGGTGAATGTTTTGAAATAAAACACAGGGTAACAAAAATTCTTTTAATGAAAAAGATTATTTTTTAACTTTATCTCTTCTATGCTGTGGCGTATAGAACTGAATTGAACTAGAACTGAACTGGAACTGAACTAGAACTGAACTAGAACTGAACTAGAACTGCACTAGAACTGAACTAGAACTGAACTAGAAACTGAACTAGAACTGAACTAGAAATGAACTAGATCTGAACTAAACCTGAACTAGACCTGAACTAGAACTGAACTTGAACTGAACTAGAACTGAACTAGAACTGAACTAGAACTGAACTAGAACTGAACTAGAACTGAACTAGAACTGAACTAGAACTGAACTAGAACTGAACTAGAACTGAACTAGAACTGAACTAGAACTGAACTAGAACTGAACTAGAACTGAACTAGAACTGAACTAGAACTGAACTAGAACTGAACTAGAACTGAACTAGAACTGAACTAGAACTGAACTAGAACTGAACTAGAACTGAACTAGAACTGAACTAGAACTGAACTAGAACTGAACTAGAACTGAACTAGAACTGAACTAGAACTGAACTAGAACTGAACTAGAACTGACTAGAACTGAACTAGAACTGAACTAGAACTGAACTAGAACTGAACTAGAACTGAACTAGAACTGAACTAGAACTGAACTAGAACTGAACTAGAACTGAACTAGAACTGAACTAGAACTGAACTAGAACTGACTAGAACTGAACTAGAACTGAACTAGAACTGAACTAGAACTGAACTAGAACTGAACTAGAACTGAACTAGAACTGAACTAGAACTGAACTAGAACTGAACTAGAACTGAACTAGAACTGAACTAGAACTGAACTAGAACTGAACTAGAACTGAACTAGAACTGAACTAGAACTGAACTAGAACTGAACTAGAACTGAACTAGAACTGAACTAGAACTGAACTAGAACTGAACTAGAACTGAACTAGAACTGAACTAGAACTGAACTAGAACTGAACTAGAACTGAACTAGAACTGAACTAGAACTGAACTAGAACTGAACTAGAACTGAACTAGAACTGAACTAGAACTGAACTAGAACTGAACTAGAACTGAACTAGAACTGAACTAGAACTGAACTAGAACTGAACTAGAACTGAACTAGAACTGAACTAGAACTGAACTAGAACTGAACTAGAACTGAACTAGAACTGAACTAGAACTGAACTAGAACTGAACTAGAACTGAACTAGAACTGAACTAGAACAGAACTAGAACAGAACTAGAACAGAACTAGAACTGAACTAGAACTGAACTAGAACTGAACTAGAACTGAACTAGAACTGAACTAGAACTGAACTAGAACTGAACTAGAACTGAACTAGAACTGAACTAGAACTGAACTAGAACTGAACTAGAACTGAACTAGAACTGAACTAGTACTGAACTAGTACTGAACTAGAACTAGAACTGAACTAGAACTGAACTAGAACTGAACTAGAACTGAACTAGAACTGAACTAGAACTGAACTAGAACTGAACTAGAACTGAACTAGAACTGAACTAGAACTGAACTAGAACTGAACTAGAACTGAACTAGACTACTAGAACTGATCTAGAACTGAACTAGAACTGAACTAGAACTGAACTAGAACTGAACTAGAACTGAACTAGAACTGAACTAGAACTGAACTAGAACTGAACTGGAACTGAACTAGAACTGAACTAGAACTGAACTAGAACTGAACTAGAACTGAACTAGAACTGAACTAGAACTGAACTAGAACTGAACTAGAACTGAACTAGAACTGAACTAGAACTGAACTAGAACTGAACTAGAACTGAACTAGAACTGAACTAGAACTGAACTAGAAGTGACCTAGAACTGAACTAGAACTGTGCTAAAACTGAATCTAGAACAGAATCTTGAATTAAACTTGAACTAGAACTAATGTAGAACTGAACTGGAAACAAACTGAAACTATTTTTGTAGCCTAGTGTTATTTTTTACTTATGTGTTAAATTGCATTGAAAATGCATTTTGTTTTTTAGTAGAATTAGTTTAAAAAAAATAACGTTCAACTAGAACATAATTTGCTAATTAAGAGTTTAATAACCCGCGCAAATACAAAATAAACTTTAGGCATTGAAACATTAAGGAAACGGGTTTAACTATGATGCAAATAATATTTGTAGTATAAACAATAAAAAAACAATTTGGCAAAAACACGTTTTAAATAACGTAGAAATATGCATAAAAGGCGTGAATGCAAGAAAAAAAGTTTATAAAAAATAATTGCTTAAATTAACCCACATTTGATATAATGCATAATAAAGATTTATTTAATAGAAGAAAATAGAATTTTTAAAAAAAGGGAAAATAACGTCGAATGCAAAAATTTGAATCGAAAGTAATTTATAGGCGAAATGTTTTACCTTGTTCTTTTAGGAAAATAAGCAACAGATTTGATATATTAAATATTAATGGATGCAATATATTCCAACTTTTGAAAATCCGTACATTTTTACACTATGAAAATTATATAAAGAATTTCACACATTCTAAACATACTCACTTGCTATACCCGTTTCATAAACGTTCATGGCATAATAACCGCCACAAATCTCATGTTGATCCCCCGAACACTTCATATTACAACTGGAATCAGCCAATTTTGCAGCAACTGGTGGTGCATCAACCCCACAAAAACATTCCGAACCATATTGTACACCAGCATAGGGAAATCCCGATTGAAGACATAGCTGAACACATTTGTCCGGTGTATTGGACGATTTGAAATTTATAAAGTAACCAGACAAAAGACGAAATTCTTTCTCGTCACGATAACAACCCAATTGAGTATTGGCGCTATGATTGCCACGCGGACAATAGCTGGGCAGGTGTGTGGCATAGAATTCGCCCGCCTGTATGGCGCAAGCAATTTGAGCGATATGTTGGCGGCAGTCTTTGGTTTTAGCTCGTTGTAAGGCGGAGACGGCATCTTTTGATTGTATATTACAGACGGGTGTAAAACCCAATTGTTTGGCTGTTATGAGAGATGAAGCAGCAACATCAGCATCGTTCTCTAATGTTGCGTCAGCAGAACGTTTGCGCGTTATTAAGGCTGCATTTGAAGAATCCTCATCATCACTGGCGGAATTATGTTGAGCGGCCAGACGACCCTTTTGTACAGCCATTGACGACAGGTCAGGATTATTTACAACGGGAGTATCACTGGACGTGAAAGCGCTTAGATTTAAAGATTTATAAGCTAAGAAAATCTGTATGCCAAATATAATAAAACCCACTAGAAAGAATATTTTATAGCGGCACAAGAGACGCCACACAAGACTCTCAGCCATGGTCGTAGTTTAGTGAGATGGTGGTATTGGTGCTGGTAGTGGTTGTATCACGCAGTTGATTGAGTATAAGTGAAGTAGTTTATGAAACTCTGGCGGTTTTTATTTATTAATAATAATGCTGGCGACGTATACGCAAGATTTAACATGACAATTGTTGTTAGACAAAAACTTTGAGGCGTTAGAATAAAAAAACTAATAAACAGGGAGGAGGTTGCTTGGGCGGAGAAAAATTTGTTTGTTGCTTTGTTTTAAGTATGCATATGATAATATTTTCTTAATACTTTAAAATCTTAGTTTACACATATTTAAATTATTATAAATTTAATTTATAATAATTTATTAATTAAAATTAATACTTTTATCAAGAATAATAAAAAAATTCTTAAACTTTTCCGAGAACCAGAAAAAATGCAACTGATTTTGACAGTTGTTTGCTGAGAGACAGTGTTGGTAAATGTTTTGAATTATTTGAACAGCTGTTTTATTATTGTGAATGTTAAACTATTATCGTGATTGTTTTACAATAAAATGCAAGAGCAACAGCGAGAAATTGAGAGAAAGCAAAACTTAATTTTTGTAGAATAATATAAATTTAGTAGATTATATTGTTTTTTGTGCTGTTCTGGTAGTTTTAATTACAAAAATATGGTGGATCCTAATCGTAAAATTAATCGTTTAACCGATAAGGATATAGAATTCTTGGAAGAATGTGAACGTGAATTTGGTTTACGTTACACCGAGGAGGATGCCGAATTTATGGCACATTGTGCCAAACCCTTGGATGATCCACCAATTGTAGAAAATTGGACTGGTGGTGGAGGCGATGGTGCTCGCAATGAGGGTGGTGGTGGCCGTCATCATCATAATCGTGGTGGTCCACGTCATCATCAAAGAAACTGGCGTGGTAGTGGTGGCGGAGGTTATGGTGGAGGTGGCTATCACAATAATCGTAATTTTAGACACAGAAGAGGAGGTCGTGGTGGTGGCCGTGATTTTTATGGTAATCACAATGGCTCAGAAGTTCCTTATCATTCGCATAACCGACCCTCATTTAATCAACAACAAAACAGTAGTGGAGGTGGTGGTGGTAGTAGTAATCGCCCGCCCATGACAATTAGAAGAGATTATAATAATTTTGTAGCCGCTTCTAAGGATGATTAGACTTTAAGATTACTTTTTTACTAATAAACAAACAGCAATAAAAATAGTTATAAAATTTAGACTCTTCTTTTCATCATACATAGAGAAAAATAAGTTGAGTTGTTCCCACTACTTATTGCCAATTTTGAATATAAATATATTTACCAACAATTTCCTTTCGAAATAAAATTTTGGAAAGTGCGTTAAATTTACAAACTTTTTTTTTACAAAATTAAACATTTTATTGAAAAATTCTATTTCATACTACTAAGTTTAAAGCCATGTTTTAATTTGGAAGTTAACAAAAGTATCTAAATATTTAAAATATACTCAAATATTTAAATCTTCGTCGGGATCTTCATCATCAAAATCATCAGCATCATCTGGGGTATATATTATATTGCTTTCCGTTGCCTCCATAGCTCTGAGAGATAAATTTACATCAAAAATTATTACTCAATATTACGATAACAACTTGAATTTAATCTGAATAAATTTTTAATAAAAACTTTTCTTAAATATTGTGATTTACTTTCTCAACTTACTTTTCATAAGGCATTTTCATAGCATTTCTCGCCACCATCTCGTCCTCGTCCAATTCAATTTTAAATGTACCTAATTGCTCCGTCTTCTGGCCGTCAGGGCTTTCAGCACTTGGTGCTTTAGACTTGTCTCCCTCCGGTTTTAATTCTACCTTAAATTCTGTTTTTGTTCTAGTATATGTATAATGTTTAAAGGTAACTCCACCGCCTGGCTTACAAACCAAAAGAGAAAGTTCGTTAGGTGTCAACAGATTCAGGACCAAATCAGCCATATACTCAAAGGCAGACACCACATATTGTATGTGATCATGATGTAGATGGGGCAGGGAAATCCATAGAAAGCTACGCTTAACATATTCGCAATTTTTTAAATTTGTAAGGAACTGAAATATCACTGAAACCTTTTGATAGGCCAAGAAGTCTGATAGGTTAGGCAGTATAACATTCCACAATTTGCCCTCCTCTTGCGGCTGTACACGGCATTCGTTGAGGAATTTCTGTAAAGTGGCCTCGTCATTTAGTTGTTCACCTATGGCTAGAGATTTTATGGTCACATCTTCTCCCTGTTCTTTGAGCATTTGGGTAAGGAATTTTTGTGAAATTTTCTCCTGGCCCAATTCATCTAAATACACACATCAAATGAATTAGATTTATTTTCAAAATATCCTTTATTTTCGCTTACCTTTAATTAAAACAAACTTTTGTCGAGATATAATTAAGTTAGAAAGCATCTTTTTTATATAATAACGTCAACTAAATCGAATTTAAAATGTTTATTTTGGTAAAATTTACAGCGTAATGCAATATGTATTACAATTTGGTGCTTCGAATTGTTGTTTACAGCACGTTGTTTTATTTGTTATTGTTGTATTTGTTATATTTTTACAATTTGCGAAATTTCTAAAAACAGCTGTGTTGATGATTCACAATAGCGAAGAACTTGCAAGTGAGGCAAATAATACGAAATTTTGTCGAAACGGAAAATTAAAAAATCGTTAATTTTTTGATTTCCTTATTTATAATCTAACCTAAGGTCTGGTCTATAGTATGGTTTATTGTCTAGTTTATGCTCTAGTCTATTCTATAATTTAGTCTATAGTCTTTAGCCTATAGTTTGGTCTATAGTCTATTCTATAGTTAGTCTATGGTCTAGTCTATGGTCTAGTCTATGGTCTAGTCTATAGTCTAGTCTATAGTCCGTCTATAGTTTAGTCTATAGTCTAGTTTTATAGTCCTGTCTATAGTCTAGTTATAGTCTAGTCTATAGTCTAGTACTCTGTCTAGTCTAGAGTCTAGTCTATTAGTCTAGTCTATAGTCTTAGCTATAGTCTAGTCTATAGTTAGTCTATGTTAGCTATCGTCTAGTCTATAAGGTCAGTCATAGTCTAGTCTATAGTCTGTCTAAGTTCTATGTCTAGTCTACAGTCTAGTCTATATAGTCTAGCTATAGTCTAGTCTATAGTCTAGTCTATAGTCTAGTCTATAGTCTAGTCTATATTCTAGTCTATAGTCTAGTCTATAGTCTAGTCTATAGTCTAGTCTATAGTCTAGTCTATAGTCTAGTCTATAGTCTAGTCTATAGTCTAGTCTATAGTCTAGTCTATAGTCTAGTCTATAGTCTAGTCTATAGTCTAGTCTATAGTCTAGTCTATAGTCTAGTCTATAGTCTAGTCTATAGTCTAGTCTATAGTCTAGTCTATAGTCTAGTCTATAGTCTAGTCTATAGTCTAGTCTATAGTCTAGTCTATAGTCTAGTCTATAGTCTAGTCTATAGTCTAGTCTATAGTCTAGTCTATAGTCTAGTCTATAGTCTAGTCTATAGTCTAGTCTATAGTCTAGTCTATAGTCTAGTCTATAGTCTAGTCTATAGTCTAGTCTATAGTCTAGTCTATAGTCTAGTCTATAGTCTAGTCTATAGTCTAGTCTATAGTCTAGTCTATAGTAGTCTATAGTCTAGTCTATAGTCTAGTCTATAGTCTAGTCTAGTCTAGTCTATAGTCTAGTCTCTAGTCTAGTCTAGTCCTAGTCTATAGTAAGTCTATAGTCTAGTCTATAGTCTAGTCTATAGTCTAGTCTAGTCTATCTATAGTCCTAGTCTATAGTCTAGTCTATAGTCTAGTCTCTAGTCTAGTCTATAGTCTAGTCTATAGTCTAGTCTATAGTCTAGTCTATAGTCTAGTCTATAGTCTAGTCTATAGTCTAGTCTATGTCTAGTCTATAGTCTATGTCAGTATAGTCGATTCTATAGTCTAGTCCTATAGTCTAGTCTATAGTCTAGTATAGTCTAGTATAGTCCTAGTCAGTCTCGTCTATAGTCTAGTCTAGAGTCTAGTCTATAGTCTATAGTCTATAGTCTAGTCTATAGTCTAGTCTATAGTCCTAGTCTATAGTCTAGTCTATAGTCGAGTCTATAGTCCTAGTCTATAGTCTAGTCTATAGTCTAGTCTATAGTCATAGTCTATAGTCTAGTCTATAGTCTAGTCTATAGTCTAGTCTATAGTCTAGTCTATAGTCTAGTCTATAGTCAGTCTATAGTCCTAGTCCTAAGTCTAGTCTATAGTCTAGTCTATAGTCTAGTCTATAGTCTAGTCTATAGTCTAGTCTATAGTCTAGTCTATAGTCTATAGTCTAGTCTATAGTCCTAGTCTATAGTCTAGTCTATAGTCTAGTCTATAGTCTAGTCTATAGTCTAGTCTATAGTCTAGTCTATAGTCTAGTCTATAGTCTAGTCTATAGTCTAGTCTATAGTCTAGTCTATAGTCTAGTCTATAGTCTAGTCTATAGTCTAGTCTATAGTCTAGTCTATAGTCTAGTCTATAGTCTAGTCTATAGTCTAGTCTATAGTCTAGTCTATAGTCTAGTCTATAGTCTAGTCTATAGTCTAGTCTATAGTCTAGTCTATAGTCTAGTCTATAGTCTAGTCTATAGTCTAGTCTATAGTCTAGTCTATAGTCTAGTCTATAGTCTAGTCTATAGTCTAGTCTATAGTCTAGTCTATAGTCTAGTCTATAGTCTAGTCTATAGTCTAGTCTATAGTCTAGTCTATAGTCTAGTCTATAGTCTAGTCTATAGTCTAGTCTATAGTCTAGTCTATAGTCTAGTCTATAGTCTAGTCTATAGTCTAGTCTATAGTCTAGTCTAGTCTAGTCTAGTCTATAGTCTAGTCTATATCTAGTCTATAGTCTATTCTATAGTCTAGTCTATAGTCTAAGTCCTATAGTCTAGTCTATAGTCTATCTAGTCTAGTCTAGTCTATATCTAGTCTATAGTCTAGTCTATAGTCTAGTCCTATGTTAGTCTATAGTCTAGTCCTAATGTCAGTCTATAGTCTAAGTCTATAGTCTAGTCTATATTCTAGTCTATAGCTAGTCTATATGCTATCTAGAGTCTAGTCTATAGTCCTAGTCTTAGTCTGTCTATAGTCTAGTCTATAGTCTAGTCTATATCCTAGTCTATAGTCTAGGTCTATAGTCCTAAGTCTTATAGTCTAGTCTATAGTCTAGTCCTATAGTCTAGTCTAAGTCTATAGTCGATTCTCTATCTGATCTATAGTCTTGTCTATAGTCTAATATATTATATAGTCCACTCTAAATAGTCGAGGTCTATAGTCGAGTCTATAGTTTAGTTAATAGTCTATTTTAAAAAGATAAAGTCTAAAATTAAGTCTATAGTCTATTCTATAGTCTGGTCTAGTCTAGTCTAGTCTAAAAGTTAGTCAATAGTCTATTCTATAATCTATAGTCTAGTATATAGTCTAGTCCATAGCCTGCTGTAGTCTTGATGATTGTCTACTCTGTATTTTACTCTAGTCTATCGTTTAGAGTATAGCCTGGTGTAATCTCTATTGCAGTTACTTTCTTTTTGTTTTTGTATTTTAAGGCCAATCATTCATCCAAGAAAATTTTTAAACATTTTATGAATGAATTTTTTTTTCATTAGCAAAAAATGTAATCGATACATTTTTGTGGGCAGCTGTTTTCTATATGAATGAATAAAGAAATTGTGAAAAAAAGCAAAAACAAGTGAAAAACACCAAATCAACCACTTGTTTGTTATACGATACTTTTAAAATATTACTACCCTTCAGGGGTGTTGCGTTAACAGATGGACCAACAAGTTGACAGAAGGTCTAATGAATGAAAAATTAAGAAATTAATGAAAAAACACAACATTTCATACGATAAGAATGAGGATATGAAGACAGATTAGTTATTTTGTAGCAAAATTCTAAAGGTAAGTAAGAGAAAGAGAAGAGAAAGTTAGGTATATGCAAGTTTCCGGTAAACTCTCTTTAAAAGCAAAACAAGGCAAAAAAGAAAAAATGAGGCGTGGGTGGTTGTGTCCTTGAAAACTTGTTGCTTGACACTACGCGAACGAAGAGAAGAAAAATGGTACATTTCTGTATAAAAAGGATGTTGTACATACGAATATAAAACGAGAGCAATTGAACATTTAAAAACAATGTAAGGAGGCCAGATGTTATTATTTTGAAAAAGGATTCTTCATTAAAAAAAATGTAATTTACCAAAATAAATATCCACAACAACCTGGCCAGTCTAGAGCCAAAGGAAGAGTAATAATTTCTAGAAAAGAAGTTATTCGTAATGTCTTTCCCAAACACAGTTTAATATAGACAACGTTCAGATAAAGTTCGTGACTTTTGCTTTCTCGTTAAAGTTTAGGTGTAAAACAGCAAAATATTAAAAAAGAAAAAAATTAAGATAAAAGTGATTAAATATGTTGCATATATTTAGTAAGTAAATGGAAAAAATACAACTTTCTAATTGCGTTGTTGTTTAAAAAGAAAAAAATAATTATTTTCATGTGTATACTAAAAGTTAAGTAAATGGTTTTTAAACAAAAAGCAATTTGCAATTTAAGCAAAAATATTTTCTTTTGGGGAGTTAAAGTTGAAAATATGTTTATTGCATGAAAATATATAGGAATTGTGTATGTGGAAATATATATACATATATTTCTTTTTAGTATTTTTGTTTAATATGCGACACAGATGGGGTGATTAATTGAGGTTAGGAGTTTAAGAAATAAATTCAATTGTTTGCAATAATAGTTTACAACGAACAATTAGGAATCTTTTATAAAAACTTACATGTCTTAACTAGACTATAGACTATAGTCTAGTCTATAATCTAGTCTAGTCTACAGTCTAGTCTAGAGTCTAGTCTATAATCTAGTCTACAGTCTAGTCTATAGTCTAGTCTATAGCTCTAGTCTATAGTCTAGTCTATAGTCTAGTCTATAGTCGAGTCTATAGTCTAGTCTATAGTCTAGTTCTATAGTCTAGTCTAGGTCTAGTCTATAGTCTAGTCTATAGTCTAGTCTATAGTCTAGTCTATAGTCTAGTCTATAGTCTAGTCTATAGTCTAGTCTATAGTCTAGTCTATAGTCTAGTCTATAGTCTAGTCTATAGTCTAGTCTATAGTCTAGCTATAGTCTAGTCTATAGTCTAGTCTATAGTCTAGTCTATAGTCTAAGTCTATAGTCTAGTCTATAGTCTAGTCTATAGTCTAGTCTATAGTCTAGTCTATAGTCTAGTCTATAGTCTAGTCTATAGTCTAGTCTATAGTCTAGTCTATAGTCTAGTCTATAGTCTAGTCTATAGCTCTAGTCTATAGTCTAGTCTATAGTTCTAGTCTATAGTCTAGTCTATAGTCTAGTCTATAGTCTAGTCTATAGTCTAGTCTATAGTCTAGTCTATAGTCTAGTCTATAGTCTAGTCTATAGTCCTAGTCTATAGTCTAGTCTATAGTCTAGTCTATAGTCTAGTCTATAGTCTAGTCTATAGTCTAGTCTATAGTCTAGTCTATAGTCTAGTCTATAGTCTAGTCTATAGTCTAGTCTATAGTCTAGTCTATAGTCTAGTCTATAGTCTAGTCTATAGTCTAGTCTATAGTCTAGTCTATAGTCTAGTCTATAGTCTAGTCTA